AAATAAATCCACTGCCCTAGAAATAAGTGATGCTCAGTAATTAATCGCTGAATTTCTGGGAAACGGGGGCAATTTGCGATTAAGAAAGGTCAGGAGATGTCTTCCTAAAAGTTTGCTTGCCAGTGCAATTCTCATTGTGGCTAAAAGTTCAAGACAGGAAGAAGGGCCTGAAATGGAGATAGATCAAGGTAGTAAAAGATATTTCTGTGTTCATGGAAATATCTTGGGAAATGAGAAGCTGGGGGAAGTTTTGAAACCAGTAAGACATGACACTTGGTTCAAGATGTGGGGGAAAAGATATGCAAGGGGTCAGAACATGATGGGTGGTCAAGTGATGGGTGAGGTATAGGAAAACAGGGCTTCCTGTCTCCACCCAGGCCCCCTTTCAGATGTATGAAATCTTAAGGCTTCGTGACTGAGACCCTAAGATACTTGTAAGAGGAAAGACAGGTAGGACCTTCAGTCCTCCAAGAGGGAGTATAAACACTCTTTAAAAATAGTTTATTTAAGTACAACTGATAATAGAAAATTTATTAATCTATAATTGGATAAGTTTGTCATATATATGCAGGTGAGAAGCCATTGCCACACTCAAAATAACAAACACATCAACCCTCAATTCTCCTCTCTGTCCTGGCATCCCTCCTCTGTTCCACCACTACTGATCTGCTTTGTGTTTCGGTGGGGGGTTTTCTTGGAATCGGGAATCAAACTCAGGACCTCACACTTGCCAGGTAGACGCCTTGCCACTAAGTTATACTCCTGGCCCTTGGTCTGCTTTCTGTTACTATAGATTAGCTGCATTTTCTACAGAATTATTTACGTGGACTCATACACAATGCACTCCCTTTTGTTTTTGTTAGACTTTCTCTGAGCACTATCTTGAGGCTTCTCTGTATTGCTGTGTCAACAGTTCATTCTTTTGTTTGTATCTGTATCCATTTAGTGTATGATATTCCATGTGTGTATGTATCACAGTTTCTTTACCCACTCATCAGTTGATGGGCATCTGAGTAATTACCAGTTTTTGACTACTACAAATAAAGCTGCTGTGTACATTCATGTGTAAGTTTTTATATGGACACAAGCTTTTCCTCCCTTATAGGTGGATATGTGGCTAATGTAAGAAATTGCCACACTTTTAGAGTAGCTGTGCCGTTTTGCATGCTAGTCAGTAACATATGAGAGACCCAGGTTCTCCTCATTCTTACCATTCTGTATCTCACTGTGTTCTTAGTTTGCATTCCCCAATCACTAACGATATTTAGCATTGTTTCATCTGTATATCTTTCTTGGAGAACTGTCTACAAATCTTTTGCCCTGCTAGTTCATGATATGGGATGATATCATGATACAGTATCCACCTGATGTGTTAGTGGATTTGATTTGCTAAAAGTATTGCATTTGCGTTCATGAGGAATACTGGCTGGTCATGTCCTTGTCATGTGCTTGTTCAGTTTGATATCAGGGTCATACTGGCCTCAAAGAATGATTAGAAAAGTATTCTGTCCTCCTGGTTTTTCTGGAAGAGTTTCTCAGAACTGGTGTTATTTCTTCCCTAAATACTTGGCTAAATTCACAGGGAAGCCATAAGGGCTTGGAGTCTTGAGTGTGAGAAAGCTCTTAGCTACATACTCAGTTTCTGGAGTAAGCCTGATATTTTGGATCATTGATAGAATTAGTTTTATGTAAGTTGTCAAATTTATTGGCTTAACATTGTTCATAATTGTCCCTTCTGATCTGTTAATCTATAGCAAAGTCACCTCTCTCAATTCTTGCTGTATGAGTCTTCTCCTCTTTTTCTCTACATGGACCAATAAAGTTTATTATTTTTTCCTCAAAAAAGCAGCTTTTTGTTTCATTGATTTTTAAAAACGATTTTGCTGTTTTCCCTTTCTTTGATTTCCACAGTGCCATTAATTTTTCCCTTTTATCTCCTTGCTTTAAGTTTAATTTGGTCTTTTTTTCCCTAGTAACTTAAAGTAGAAGGTGAGTTCACTGATTGGAGGTCTTATTTTCTAATGTAGACGTTTAGTATTATAAATTACTCCCAACTGCCTTAGCAGCATTCCATACATTTATACTTTCTATTTATTTTGAAATTCAAAATATTTTACAATTTCGCTTTAATTTTCTCCTTTGATCCATGGGTTTAGAAGTGTTTGGTTTCTCACTGTTTGAGGGTTTTCTAGATATTTTTCTAATATTAATTCCTAATTTAATTCCATTGTGGCCAGACATCTTCTTTTGTATCAGCTGAAGTCTTTTAAATCTATTGAGACTTGTTAATGGCCTAGAATAAATGCCTTTGTAAATGCTCCATGTGCTTTTTTTTTTTTTTTTTTTTTTTTTTTGGTATCAGGAGTTGAACTCAGGACCTCACACTTGCCAGGAAGGTGCTTGTGCCACTGAGCTATATCCCCAGCCCTCCATGTGCATTTGAAAAGGACATATGTACTGTTCTTTTGGGTAGAGCAGCTTATTATTGTCCATTAGTTGGTAGAAGATATTATTCAAACTTACTGTAACTTGCTGATTTCTAGTCAGTTTTTCTATCAACTATTGAAAAGAGAGTACTGAATTTGCTGATAGCAGTTGTGGATTTGTCAGTTTCTCATTGCAGTTTTGTCAGGTTTTTATTTCATGTATTTTGAAACTCTGTATTTGCATAAGTATTTAGGGTTGTAACTCTTCTTTATGAAGCATTTTCACCATGAAATGGCATTCTTTATCCCTGATACATCAGTCATAGTCAATATGAGAAGCATAATTTATAGTGAATTGTGTATATACATACATACTTGTTATGGAAAATAGGCTTACTGCTTAGAGGAACTGGTCAGGCAGTCTTATAGTGCTCTGTGTCTGAATCTGAGGCTGACTTTGATGTTGACAAGACAGGGAGAAAGGAAGGAAGATGGGAATGATATAGGGAAATCAAGGTCACGCTGAGTGTCATAGTAGAAGTTGGACCTGAAAAAATGGACTGAAACCCATGTCTATTCTGTTGCCCTTGACCCTAGTGGTGAGGATATCCAACAAAAGCTAGAGCTACTCATCACTGAGCTAAACGCCTATCTGGTCCAGGGATCTGAGTCACTTGTGGATGCAGAGGAAGGTAGAACACTTGCAAGTCAAATTATCATTTTATGTCAGCGCAGTAAACAAGCAGTCACCATTTTCATTCTACCTGATATATCTCACACACAAAAAAAAATCTTTCTGTTCTACCCGAACCAGAAACATGAAAGAAAGAAATTCTAGGACAAATAGTTTATCCTAGCCAAGTTGACACATTATAAAATCTACCCCTTGTAGTTTAGTGTGAAACATGTTTCTTTAGCTCCTATTTAATCTCCAAATTATAACATAACAAGACATGCTTCCACCAAAATGGCACAATTATCAGTCATAATACCATTAACATGCTAACACTTTGTCTGGAAGATGATACAAAATCCTCTTTTTCTCCTTGAGCAATGTTCATTTTTCTAAGTAATAACACTCCTACTTTGTATCTTATAACTTTTATACTGAGGTTAACTGTTATTAATACATGTTATGATAGATGAGAAGAGGGTGAGAGATGATACAGAAATTTTCCAGTGGCTTTCAAAAGAAGAGGAGTGTATTATTGACCACAAGGGAGTTCTTTTCAGATTTAATTAAACACTCAAACATATAAATTAGACTTGGCATTTTCTTTCTTTATTTATTTATTCATTTATCTATTTATTTATACTGCTGGGCATTGAGCCCACCCCAAAGCCCACCCACTGAGCTATACCCCAAACCTTTCCCCCTTTTTAAAAACTTTTAAAATTTTGACACATGGTTTTACTAATTTGCTCAGGCTGGTCCCCAGTTTGTGTTCCTCCTGCTTCAGCCTCTCTGAGTAACTGAGATTATAGGTGTGCACCATCATGCTTAACAGCATCGAATGCTTCACAAAGAATTAATTTAAGCCTAAAACTCAATCTTCAGTTCTGCATGAAAAGTAAATCAAAATTGTAAATCTACATAAAAGTTAACTTGCCTTTGCACAAATAAATATCAGTAAGCAGGTTGATGCTATTTTAAATGAAATTTTAATTAGGGACAATAAGACATCTTTCACTTTATGTTCAGTTAATTTTGGCTTTCTAAATATCATACCCAGTGCTGTAAACTCAGATTGTCAAAGCAGAATGATAGCTGATATAACCAAAGTACCCAAGGTTACTTTGATGGAGGTGAGTAGGCTTATGTCAAGAAACACCAGAATCCCCCAGGATCTTTAGAATTTAATTCCGATCCGATCATTGTCTTTGTCTTCAGTGAGGTCACTGGTATCAGTTTGAAAAACCTTCAACTCTAAGTAATTGAAAACCAAGTGGTTTAAACAAATCTTACTTCATACTTAGCACATAGTGTCTCTCAAAGATATGTTCACATCCTAACCTCTGTGCATGCGATTGTGCCTGTATTTGGAAATGGGGCCTTCTTAGGTATGTTAAGATGAATGAAGGTGAGCACTAATTCCATGCTGGTGTCCTTCTAAGAGAGATAACTTAGACACAAAGGAGACACAGAGAGAATGGCATGTGGAGCTGTAGGCAGAAGTTGATATGATAAATGCCAAGAATTACTGGCAACTACCAGAAAGGAGTGTGGAACAGATCCTTCTGAGCCTTTACAGGGATCACGACCTATGTCTATCTATTTCACTCAGTGGGTTATTACTTACTCTCCAGTACGGTAGCTACTACTCACATGCAGCACTCTAAGTGTAATTTAATTCAAGTTCAATAAAATGAAAAACTCACCTCCTCAGTTCCTCCAGCCTTAGTTCAAGTGATTAATAGCTTCACGAGACTAATGGCTTCTATCTTCCATACGCGGATTCAGAACATACCTTAGAAACCTAGTACGGTATTCTCTTCTGGTCACTGACCTGCAACTGCCTTCAAGGACTCATTCAAAAGTAACATCCCATTCTGTGTTCTGAGCCACCTCCTGCTTCCAGGACACTGCGTGCGGGCCACAGAGCTACAGTCCTCCAGGATTCCTAGAGGGGCGCGTCTGCCCAACTTCCGGTGCGCGAGCGGGAGGCTACTGTGGGGTCAGCGAGGGGAAGTCTGAGCGGGAGTTCGCGCGGCGCGTCCCCGCGTCTTTCCTAAATCGTCCTTCTCGGACACGGTCGGCCTGCTTCTGTCACGGGTGGAGCCTGTGGCTGTCAGCCTCTACCTGTCAGCCGGCGGACGATCCTCCCATCCTTTCAGCACTGCGTCGCCGCCCTTCGCTCCACGGACTCCCGCAGCAGTGCCCGGCGCCGCATGTGCCCGGCCACCGGCCCTGTGCAGGTCAGAGCTCCCTCTTGGGTCAGGGCTCAGCCATCCGTCTTGGCTTCCCCAGTTTGGGCGAGATCCTTCAGGAGACGCTGAGAGCACGGTCTCTTTGTAGTTTTAACAACACGACTGAGCTAGGAAATGATGTGTGCCTTCTACTTAGTGCGGCCCTCTCGGTACTTTTAAGTTCTGCAGTGGCAGGGACGCTCTTCACAACTCCTTGTTTAACACCTCACACAACGTCTGCAGAGTGGCCGTCAGTAAATAGTAAAGAAATGCGTGAAAAAAACTCAGGCCTTCTAAAGGGCGTTTTGATTTGGTTGGGAAAGCAGGTGTGAAATGGCATTACAGCAGAGTAGGCATCTAAGAGCACGGACCTAGGCGCCAGACCATTTGATTTCAGAAGAGACCTTAGTGCCTGTCCAAGCCGGATTGTCCAGAAGTGCCCCAGCGGTTTCCTCTGAGCTACTGGGAGGAACAGTTAGGACTAGGGATCTGCCTTCTCCCAGAGGGAGGGAGTGGTACCCGTGCTCAAGGCTTCCTGCCTTCTAAACCGCACACCGCACAGGTGCTGGGTAGTGGTTTCCTGGACTCCTTCATAAACAAATGACAACTAAGTCTAGGCATCTGACCCAGCGCAGTGGGTTTACACTCCCACTGGCAGGGATACTTTCTCAAATTTGCACACAAGAAGGTTGTGGGAGCTCTCACCTTAAACATGGAAGCACTTCTCTCCAGATTTCTCTTTTAGGGGGTGATGGACTTCAGGGCACCCGTGCTTCCCTTCATTGGTTTGTGTGCTTCCCCAGGAAAGCCTTTTCTGTAAGGTGTACCTTGTGTGTGGAATTTGCCCTTACCTTGTTTCACCTGTATCATGCTTTGAGTGGACTCTGGGGCACTGAGTTGTCCCTAGTTGTTTGGTTCCCAGCCCTGAAGTGATGAGGGCAGGGGTGTGCTGTGTGGGAGAGCCTGATAGGGAAGGTAGTGGTGTGGGCTCTGGGTGTGTTGGTTTCCATTTGAAAGGCATGCTCACAGGTGAGTTGTTTACCGTCTCTCAGAGTGACATCCATGTCATTAAAGCCCCAGATGTCAAAGCCTCGAAGTGAACAAGACATGTTTAATACACCAAACAGCACTATTCAGATGGTTTCTGTCATTCCCAACTCCTATAACTGTAATGTTAGATTCTTAGCTCCATGTTTAGGAGAGGAAATGGGACCTCAGAAAGGTTTGACTGGTGACTAATGCCACATACCTAGTGAGAGATTGCACTGTGATTCTAACTTGGGGCACTGGAGTCCAAAGCTGGTGCTCTTTCTGTGAGCTGGATCACTTCCCTGTAGGGTAAGATGCTGTGGGGATATTTTTAGTCCACATTAGGAATTTGACAATACTATATTGACCACTACCTCTCTGAAATTCTTTTTTGACTATAATTCCATTCATTCTTATGTATAGGGTATACTATGATTCATGTGTTAGACTGAGTGATAGAAATGTAACAGTGAGCAATATCACTGCTATACTGTAGCTCAAAACATTGTATTCATGGTTAAAACCATTGTTAGCCCAAGAGTCCCAAATATGCTTACTAACAAAGTGAGAGAAACACTTTGAGGGAAAGAAATGCAGTTCTTTTAGTCTTGTTTCTGATGACGCCTTGACTGATCCAGTGATCTCAACCCTTACTGGATGTCAGAATAATACGCAGGATGTATTAAAAATATAGGTGTTGGGACCACATCTAGGAGATGGTTATAGGCTGGAGTGTGTCCCAGGTGAATGAAATGAGTCCAGGCAGAGAGAGCATCACCTTGGCTAAAATATTTTTGTTTTGCTTTTACAAAACTGGTCCGAGGCTCATGGAGAGATCGGGCATGGGCATTCCTATGAAGCTCCAGCTGAGCTTCATACCATCCGCTGGAATCAGTTCCTAGTCAGTGGGGATGAGCCCTGGATACTTAGGGCAGTGGAATCAAGAGGCGTCTCCAGCCTGGCTGATGACAAACTACAAGCACATGAGGGATTAAAATTTGAAAGAAACAGCTAACACTGCCAGGAAACATGATAGTGAGGGAGCATATTATTTTTGAGTCACTAAAAGGAAAAGAAAAGAACTATTCAGAGGGAAATGATCACATTTACAACTTGGAAAATATCACTGACTACAATCTAGATAATGGACTGATTGGGACAGAGTACGTGTGGGGACTTTTTGTGCAGTGTGACATATTGGATGGCTGTAGGGATAAAGATGGTGATGACAGAGAGAAGGAAGGGCAGAATTGAGAGAAAGGAAATAAAATCAGTAGAACTTAATTTGCATGAAATAAAAGAAGGAGGTACAGGACAGGATTTTGTTACGGATTCTTTCAGGTTTCTGGCCATACACCCAGATGAATATTTCTAGAATCTGAGAGACAACAACTAGGAGAAAGCAGATTTGAGGTGGGAGGAATCACAAATTGGTTTTGAAGGTGCCCAATTAGAGAAATTTCAAGAGGAGTTGTGGTGAGCTTGACCAGCTTGGTGTAAATAGACCTGGAGCACATAGAGGTCTAAACCAGATGGATGGTAAGAAGGTGAGGTAAAGTAGGTTAGGAGGCAAGTAAGAGAGTGAAAATGTGGAGCACTTAGGACTACACTTAGGGAACTCTGATATACAGGGGAGTGGACCTGTGAAGGAGGGGGAGAATGAGCAAAGATGATTCTTTTACGAATATGAACTTCCTTGGCCTCACAACCATGGAGGACAAGTCGGTGAGGACTAGTGTCTGTAATACCAATTGAGTAATATCACAAACATTGGAATTAAAATGCAAGAGATGATATAGTATAGATTATTGGTCATTCAGGGAAGGACACAAATCAGTGTGATGCAGCCCTGGCAGTGCTATTCACATGTCCATGCACAGATGTGACACTTCATCATCTCTTGATTTCTTAATGCCAGTGGTTACACAGTGAGACCTAAAGAGCTCCTTAAGAGGCTAGGCCAGGGGCAGTGCAAGTCTGAGACCAGCCTTAGAGACCCTGTTTCAAAATAAAAAGGTCAGAGCATGTAGTTCAGTGCCTCCTGGGTTTAGTCTCCAATACTGAACAAAACCTAAAGGAATGTCTATACTCTTTGTGATATACTAAATATTAAGAAGACACTGATCATCCAGTTTCTTTGTGGAGCATACAAAGCATCTTTTAATATGTGGCAAAGTGTAGTTTAGAAAATGTTGCTTTGTAGGCATTGCAGATTTAACTTAATTAGTGAATAGCTGAGCAAAGGACACCAGCATCCTCCAGTAATCAGGTAAGGCCCGAAACTTGAGTCCTTCACTCTTCTCTCTTCTGAACCTTTCCAGTGTGCCCTGATGTCCTGTCCAGTCTCCTCTATTTATATATTTTGGCCTCCATAGCTCAGGCTCTCATTGTCTCCTGACCAAATGGTTGCAACACACTTTCTGTCTCTTTGCCACATCACCCTCCCAGACATTCCTGGGGCCATAGGAATCCCCACCCATCCCAGAGCCTTGATAGGCTGGCTGTTCCTGCACATGTGCCCTTCTTGCACTATTCCTTAAGTACTTCTGAGGCTCCAGAGCAGGGTTCTTAACCTGGGTACATGTCAGAAGCACTTGGGACACTTATTGCGGCCCCACCTGGAGATTCTGACTCCGTGATTCTGTCATGGACTGATGCTCCGTGGCTGCCTCTGAGCCATAGCCACAGGCAACCACCATTAGCCAGACCTCTCCAAACCACATAGGCTTTCTTCAGTGGGCCACATGCTGTCATATGTTCTGTCTTTTGCCTGAATGACCTTCCTCTGCATCTTTGCCGGGCACACTCAGATCAGCTTCTACTGAGATGTCTCCTCCAAGTAGCTCTGTCTGCTTCTTCCAGCCCTTCTTTTTTCTCTTGGTCAGTGCTCTTTTCCTGGTGCTTACTATGCTTGGATTTATCACTCTGTGTGTTCATCTGTCATTTTCCCCAGTTAAACTAAAGAGTGCTTGGAACTTGCAGTCAGGACATGTATCCTGAGACATGTGCTTAGTACACTTTCCAGAACCTAGCAAATGCACACGTATTTGTTGAAATAATAGATGAAAGACTCTCCTTCCCTTTTCTTTGTTATTATGTCAGAACTGTGTGACTTGAAGTCCAAAATAAGTTTTCCTTATTTGTACATTTGTAGCTGTTCTCCATGGTCCCTGCTTAGCATTTCACCAGCATGCCAAATTTGCAGTAACAAGCAAGACTGTCCTGAGCATAATTCTGAAACAAAAGGAGGAGGGATTACTTAAGAGGTGGGAACCCTGGGTTCATATGTTTGACCAGTTTGGGGCCTTGGAGAGATCCATAAACATTCAAGAAGCTGTTTCTTTATATGTTAAACATGGGGATGATAATACTGCACTGTTGTAGTCAAACCCCAATAACATAGTATTTGTAAGCCGCCTGCCTTAGGGTAAATGTTTATTAAGTGAACTTTCCTCCCTGTTTGGGAAAGAACCCATTCCATACTGGCAAGAGCTACCTATTTCACCTGCAGAACCCAGTTGTGCTGCTCGCTACCTGTGTGGCTTTGATTAGCTTATGATTCTCAGTAGCCTCATTTGGTGAAAGAACATAATTTTGAAAGTCCTCATAGAGCACTATTTATTATCCCTAATGTCCCTAACATTGGTCCTGAATAGATTTCAACATTACCAAATTTTGTGTTACATCCTGAAAAAACCTTGAATCATCTAAGTAAATCATTTATGTGGAAGCTGTCTTTTAGTCAGTTTTTTTTTTTACACTGCTATGTTCCTTGGTAAGTGGCATTCAAAAACCTGTATTTACCTTCCAAGCAGCTGTGTAACATGAGCACTGTCGGCCTCAGGGACATCCTGAAGAGGTGGAATTCAGAAGGAATCCCTCAGACACAAGCCTCTACCAACTCCCTGCCTCAGCTGGGCAGGCTTTTCAACTCTCTCTGCCCAGAATGTCAGGAGAGGCCACAGCCTTGGTCTGCTCTGCTGTAAGAGAACAAGAAGGACTTACAGTTGTGAAGGTTGAAGAAGAAAATTATGTTGCGGGGAAGGACTCTGTCCTTGAGGGAGTCTCCCAGAGCCAGGAGATCTTCCGTCAGCGGTTCAGGCAGTTTGGTTACTCTGACTCTGCTGGGCCCCGGGAGGCTCTGAGACAACTCCAGGAGCTCTGCTGTCAGTGGCTGAGGCCAGAGGCACACACCAAGGAGCAGATCCTGGAGCTGCTGGTGTTGGAGCAGTTCCTGGCCATCCTGCCCGAGAAGCTGCAGGCCTGCGTGCAGAGGCACCGGCCAGAGAACGGAGAGGAAGCTGTGACTCTGCTGGAGGAGTTGGAGAGAGAAGTTGGTGAAGCAAGCCAACAGGTAAGAAGCAGGCCTTTGTGTTTGTTCCTTTGACCTGCTGTAAGTTCATGCCATTGTGAGTGGCATGAACTAGGCTCTCAGGGGATTACTCAACTTTTGTCTTTGGTGTATTAATTATTCACCTGTTCGATCAAGTTACAAGGGGTTTTGGTGCTGCTGTTTTCTCTCTAATCGCCTAAACAAGTGTCTGATTCTTCCTGTCCTACCCTGTTGCTCTAGGCACTTTCATCTTGTGTAGGCTCAGAATCACAGTGCTGGTACTTGATTACTCCTAGGACACCACTGATCGCCAAGAAATGATCTGGAAGGAAATGACAACCAAGGGAGCACTAACATCTGTGTACAGCTTACCACAGTCCTTGGAGAACCAGTGCAAGAGTGAGACTCAGGAGACTGAAACTTTCTATGAGAAAGGTAAGGACCCCAATCCATTTAGGGCTGAGGATAGAGGGGAGGGCTATCAAATTTGCCATGGCTCATTGAGCACTAAATGGTGTGCCTAAAAACAAAAGTCTAAAGTGTACAGCAGTAAGCAAGCGGGAGTCTGTGCCACCGAGGCTCAAGGGAGGAACACATCTGCAAGAGGGTACCATGTCTTGCCCTCCTGTCAGGAATGAGGTCTACCTCGTGTTCCAGAGACCAAGCATGGCGTGGTGGGAGATGTTCCCTGAAATGTCCAGCTGTTTTTCCCTGAGGAACAACCCTCTGGTGCCAGAAAGCCTCCAGATGGAGGTGACATGCTACACAGTTTGCTGGGAAGCTACTGAGGGGGATGATGCCTGGGACTGTTCCACATCCTGCAGCAACACAGCATACCAGGTCTAGCCAGAAAATCCCATTTCTCCTCCATTGTCTCTCTGGCCCCCTCTGATGGTAGACGTCATCATTTGAGGTCATCTGATAATGCTGGTATTACAGGTAGGGCAGTGGAGGCTAGATTTGAAATGTGGAGGCAGTAAATTGATAGCTGTGTGGATGCCAAGGGTTAGAACCAAATTGACTTTGCTTATGTTATTGGCAACATCATCCCTATGTGCAGCAGCTACATCAGGTTTATTAGCTTGTTATCTTTAAACTTTAGTCACATCTAACTACTCTTCTGATTTCATCTTCACCACACAATCTTATTAACCTCCTGTGACACTCAGCTATAATAAGCAAAGGCATTAGTTCAGTTTGGTCTGTTACATTATTCATTTTCTTCATTACTTTCTTGTTGCTGAGACAAAATACCTGACATCCACAAGTTAAATGAGGAAATGTTCACTTTAGCTCACAGTTTTTAGAGGTTTCAGTCCACAGGCTCCTAAGGAGGGTGCTTTGGCATATGAGAAACAGTTCATGGCATGGCAGGCAGGGAGCAGCAAGACTTCCTTCTTTATTCCCTTTTTATTCAATCCAGGCTACAAGCCTATTGGTTGGTTGCATGGACATACACTGTGGGTCTTCCCTCTTCAGTAAATCCACCATTTACACCCAAAACCATACTAACCCAATCATTGATCTAATGCAGTGTGACATACCCATGATCCAGTCACTCCAAAAAGCTCCATGTATGAGTGCATGAGGATTTTCGGGGATATCTAGATATAAGCCATTATGCTCATTAAATCTCTATGGTTTTATTGCTTAAGAGCCATGACCTTGGTTAATAAGAGTCTGTTGCAAGAAATGAATGTATTTATTATATGATAATAGAATTAGATTTGTAAGGACCAAGCCGGAGGGCCAGATCCTAGAGCAGTGGTGGCAGACTCTATGGTACATGTTCCACTGGTGGCTGTTTGTTATCATGGAAAGCTCTAAAAGGTTCACCATCACTGTCCTAGAGCTTGACAGTTCACCAAAGATGTCCAGGTAACCATTTACTGAGGTCTATTCAGGAACTCACTCTGTGTCTCCCATATGTCATACCCTGATACAGACCTCTCAGATATCCTCTGCCCCAGGCGGGAGCTACATTAAAATACATTTGGAAAAGTCATCTAGCCCCCTGTGCATTTTTTTTGAGATAGAGTCTCACTGTGTAGTACAGGCTGGCCTTTAACTTGCTTATGTAGTCCAGGCTGGCCTCAAACTCACTGTGATCCTGTTGTCTCAGCCTCCGAAGTATTGGGATTACTGGCATCTGCCACCACACCCAGCTACTCCCTTGTTTTAAAGCAGCTAAATGCAATATTCGTCAGTTTTTCATCACTATAATGAAATACCTGAGGTGGCTACTTGTATAAAGAATATTTTTAGGTCATAGTTTTTCTAGGTTCATTTTTGGGGAAGGCCCTCTGCTGTGTCATATCACAGTGATGGAAAGAAAAGAGTATATACAGGACAAGTGATCACATTTTGAAGCAGAAAGCAGAAAGTGAGTTGGGGTCAGTCTCAGGCTTTTATAACAGTCCTCTCAGAAAAATGAACTAGGGTCTAATGAGAAATACCTTACTGCTTTTCAAGAGCAGAGCCTCAGTGGACCTAAGGACCTCCCACTGTCACCTCTTAATGGTTCCATCAGTTCCCACATTGCCACAGTGCACCTACCTTGCCCCTTCATAGACCCTGAGCATGAGCAATACCCAAGGTGTAGCAATGTCTGAATCACTTAGGGTAGATTATTTCTGATTTCTTTTTCAAGGTCTTTAGGGACAAAAACTCTACTGTAATTGAAATGCTTCTGAAGCTTACCTTTTCTGGAGAGGGGCTATTTAGACATGGTCTTGCTATGTAGCCAAAGCTGGCTCTGCCTTCATGATCTGTCTCCTGAAACTCTTCAAACCCCGCCCCCCATGCTGTCACCTCAGGGGTTTGGATTTCAACAAGTGGATTTGGGGGAGCTGCACACATTCTGATCACAGAAGGAGCCAACTCTCAAAGCAGATGAGGGAAAGAGGCACTATAGTTGTAATGAGACCTGGTTGGTGCATCATCTAATAGCATTAAAAGTATCTGTCAGATGAGGAAGAGAGCCCATATATCCTTAGTTTAAAAGGATTTTAGACCAAATAGGAATAACAGAGGCTCCCATAAAGAGTTCTAATGAAGACACCTGTGACTTTTCTTCTGCAAGAGCCTCCTATAATGTGTACCCCACCATTGAGTTCCTGGACTTTGGGCTTGCAATCATTATTTCTATGCTTCCATTTCTAAGTACTCAAGTGACAGTTCCTTATTTTACTTTTAATTCCTGTCATTTGTAGGAATTACGTTAGTGAACTGCTTATCTAATGTTTTGTATAATCATAAATGTATAGTTGAAAAGTAAAAATCTCTAAGCTTTTCTGATTTATACATCTAAGGACAGAGTTTTATTCTCGTTTCATATGTGTGTGTGTGTGTGTGTGTGTGTGTGTGTGTGGTGCTGGGTATTGAACCCATGGCCTACACATTCTAAGAAGGTGTCCTACCATGGAGTTACACTCACTTCTTTTTTTTTACTTTGAGGTAGAGTCTCACTGTTATTATTTAACCTGGCTTCAAACTTGAGTACTGTCCTGCCTCACCACTCTGAAAGCTGGGATTCAAGCTTGTGCTACCACACCACACTCAGTGTCATCATTTGACTTCCTGTAGTTCAAGAGTTTGAAGAAGTATTGTATTGTGTTGTACTGTATTGTATTGTATTGTATTGTGTTGTATTGTGTTGTATTGTGTTTCATGTTTTTTGAGACAGGGCCTCACTACGTAGTGCAGGCTGGCCTTGAACTCACTTATATAACCCAGGCTGACCTTGAACTCAAGGTGATCCTCCTGCCTCAGCATGTCAAGCGCTGGGATTACAGGCCTACACTACCATACCCTGAAGAAGTATTTTAAATGCTATAAGTTATATTGTTCTTTGTGTCACATTCTATTGCTTATATTTACTTGATCTCCCCGGAACGTTCCCAAAATGCAATTGTTCTGCGCTTTTTTAGTTCCTGTCTACCTACACTTGTCCAGTAATAACCCACAAATTATATCTTCTACTCTACTTCTTTGCTTGAAATGCCACGGATGCAAGACTGGGTATTCTGTATAACCTGTTGCTTTCTTGAGTTAACTGAAGTACCTTCTCCTATGATTGAAAATTATTTCTTAGCTTCCTGGTTTCTCACTGATGCTCCTTTCTGTCACCCTAGGCATCTTTTCTGGTTCACTGTACTCTCCAATACTGGCTATCATTTATTTTCTATTCTCTGAGGGAGCCACCTCTGTCTAAACCAGGCTATTCTCTCTTCTAAATTGAGAAGCTAGTTCTACAAATTTTCCTCCTAATGGATAAATGCCTATTCCATTTGGTTGACTTTGTTCTATCTACTACAATCCTTTCCTTTCTCCTAACATAGGGGGTAAATTACACTTGCATTTTTTGTTCACATTTTTAGATGGCAAGATGGTGAGTGACAAAATGTTGACAGTAAAACAAGAAATTATTGAATGTGTAACATCAGCAGCTCTGATATCCTCAGCAAGGCTCCGTGGTGAAACTGCTTCAGGACAGATAGTTGAAGCTTTGGGACATGTGGGCAGTGCTGAGAAGCAGAGGGGAAGTGTTGCATGGAACACAGTGAGTCAGCTCTCTTCCCAGGAAACCCATGTTAGTGTGGCAACCTTCAGCAGGAAAATCCCCACGGAACAGAGCATCTTTGAATGTAATGGAAGTGAAGGACATCTCAGTGTGAACTCCAATGAAATTACAAGACAGAAAATTCACACAGGGAAGCTCTATGAATGCTCTGACTGTGGGAAAGCCTTTTGCCAGAGCTCAAAGCTGATTCAACATCAGAGAATTCACAGTGCTGAAAATCCTTATGAATGTTGTGAATGTGGGAAAACTTTAAGGGGCCGCTCTGAGCTCATTACTCATCGGAGAATTCACACTGGAGAGAAACCATATGAGTGTGGAGAATGTGGGAAAGCCTTCAGCCAGATTTCTGCCCTTAATCAGCATAAGAAAATTCACACTGGAGATAAAGCATATGAGTGCACTGAGTGCGGTAAGTCTTTTGGGAGGAGCTCTATCCTTATTGAACATCAAAGAATTCACAGTGGTGAAAAACCCTATGAATGTCGTGAATGTGGAAAAGCTTTCAGGGGCAGCTCAGATCTCATTAGGCATCGAAGAATTCACACTGGAGAAAAACCCTATGAGTGTGGTGAGTGTGGGAAGGCCTTCAGCCGGAGTTCAGCCCTTATTCAACATAAGAAAATTCACACTGGAGATAAAGTATATGAATGTATTGAATGCGGTAAGGCTTTTGGGAGGAACTCTATCCTTATTGAACATCAAAGAATTCACACTGGAGAGAGGCCTTATGAATGTAACGAATGTGGAAAATCATTTAATCAGAGCTCAGCCCTGACCCAACACCAGAGAATACACACTGGGGAGAAGCCTTATGAATGTAGTGAATGTAGAAAAACATTTAGGCATAGATCCGGCCTCATGCGTCATCAGAGAACACACACCAAAATCTAACACTGTGGGTAAGATTGTGCAGTTGTGAAATAGAATCGTCACTTTAAATTTTCCAGAGAGACCCCTGCACAGTTCCATTCTATAAGAAGAGATCCACACAACATTAGAATTGTTGAAGTGTTGAATGGAAGAATGGTAAGTGTTTCCTAAAACTGATTTCTGGATCTGTACTCCCACCTGAAATACCTCCTCCTCACTTTCAAACCAATGCAGATATAACTGCCAATTAGGTATCTTCACAAGAAGTCCAGGATTGGGGCAGATACGAAAAGAGCTCCTTATAATATGATCTTTGCCCAGCAAGGGCATTTGTGCCTTTTGTAGGTGGAGCCATGTGCTAAGTTGAATTATGTGGCATGTGAAATGCTGAAATATGTTGTTTGTCAGGTTAATGGTATCTCGGGCTGTTTAACATTTTCGAAGGAATGGTGGCTCATTGTGCCCTTTGCTAAATCTTCCTGCAGTTTTGAGCTTCTTGCTGAAGTTAATTCTGATCTATGTGTTGACCACCTGATATGTTTAGGCACTAGGGGCACACATGTCCGCTAGTCTCCCATCAACTTTTAGTTCCATGCTTAGAGGATATACCTACTTATTAAGTGAGTGATACAGTATAGTGTGGAAAGTATTTTGCTAAGATAAAGCCAGGCTTCTGTTGAAGTACATGGCAAGGATAGCTTACCTGGTCTATGAGTCACTAAAGATTCCTGGGATGTGATGACATCAGAGTTAAAACCTCAATGGTAGGAAGTTAGACAGGTGAAGGGCACAGGGGAAGAGGCAGAGGTTATAGAACATGCCCGGTATAAAGATAAGGGAGATGTGGGTGCATCCTTTCCTCAGAATTCTACTCCAGCAGGAATTAATTTTCATACTGTGACTCAAAAGCCAGGAAATGTGTTGATTTCTCTTTCTGTTCGTAATCACTATCACAGATCAAGTGAGGCTGTCACATGGTCAGAATTAATGTAGTAGAAGACTAGTGCATTTTATGGAAACAGCATACATACATCAAAGAAAAAATATATACTGGAGTCTGGAAGGAGAGTGGGTGATGGAGCGTTCGTGTCCCAACCCCTTGGGCTTAGGAAATGGAAGATTGCAGGAACACAGTAATGGGGAATCTGCCTTCCCAGGCCCCACAATTCCTCATTCCCTGCGCCTTTCTCTCAGCACCAGGTTCACTCTTAAGCCACTTGAGGGCGATAAATATTTCTTGGGATTAATCCATCAGAGTCGTCAAAAATTATACTTCCATGCTAGTTTTTATTTTGGCAGTTTTACTTAACCCACAATTCCTCAAGACAATTCCTGTATTAGTCATGTTGGAAAATTTGGTAATCATAGCTATTGTGCGTAGTAGAGGAGATGCAGTTGAGGAGCGTTTATGTTCAAAAGTTGTGCAAATTATCACTGAGCAAAATCAATCCTAAATTTATTTAAAGGAATTCTTCAAGTGTATGGTGAGTTGCCTTTCCTACTAAATGACTTAATGTTCTTACTGCCTAATTGTGAATTAATTGTGAATGCTGATAATACAGAAAGTATAAACATCTAGAATCCCACTCTCCATAGGAACAATTAACATTTTGGAATATTTCCTGTTGGTATTTTTCTCCCCTATTCCTAATATTTTTGTATAAAATCTTGTCTAGTAAATAATGTATGGTAACTAATTTTAACATTTATGTTGAATACACACTTCAGCTGATCAAAATCAGAATATAATATAAGATGTAATAAAACTTGAGTTTTAAAGGTTTCTTTTGAAATTATTATTCATTCACAAATAGGGAATACAGAAACGTGAGTGTGGGGATTTGATAGGGGATCATGAAAGGGGTGTAGAAAGTCAGAAGCGTGTTTATTATTTATTTTTATTTTATTTTTTGTATTTTTCATTCCATGGGCCAAAAAACATCAGAAAACTATGACAGCCAATCTCCAGGAATGCAACTGACCAGCCTCACAAAATGGACAGAGTTGAGTTGTGGAGGGACTATGAGAAAAAGTCTCTTCAAACATACACACATTCTATGTCTACCACAATTAGGATTTCCCCTTTCCTTTGATGGGGATTGTATGTGCCAGACTGCACTGCTATGACCATCCCCTTCTCCTGCATGAAGTCCTCAATAGAAGTGGCAGCTTAGAGACCATGGTCAGATTTGCTTTAAATTTCCAGTCCTCTCAGACAGTGTTCGTGAGCTATGGAAATGAGGGAGAAGAGGGCAGGCAGGAAAACTGATATTTAAGTATTGTGCCTAAGTTGCATTTTCTTTTAAAAAATTCCTTTAAGATCTACTTAGAGTAGACACTGTTAACCCCTAGAATGCTTCTATACCAAGAGAAACAAGATAGCCCTGACTGAGCAGAAAGACATGAACTGCTTCTTTTCCAGAAAAAGTTGGTGAAAGAAACAAATCCATTTTACAAACACAAAATTTTGAACTTCTGACCATAAAAGCCCATCTTCTTCGACTCCTTTCACAGAAGGTTCCAGACTTGGAAGGTGACTCGCTTATAGCTGTAGAATTCATGGGGAAACACTAATGACTAAAGGTCTTGAACACTTCAAGGGGTATTCTTTTCCCAACCATAAATCCTCAGGGACTCATGTTGTATTTACACCAGGATTTATAATCTGTAGAGGCCTTTTTAAATACTATGTTTGAGGTGGACAAGTCTACCATTGTTTTTTATCAATGATTCAATTGAGGCTAGGGATGTAGCTCAGTGGTAAAGTGCTTGCCTCGCTAGCATACATGAAGCTGTGAGTTCAGTCACTAGTGGAAGGGAGGGGAAATGGTAATGCAATCGAAGATTACAGTTACGTTTGCTAACAAACAGACTTGGAAGGAACAGAGATGCTACAGAAAGCAAGTTTTTGTTTTGTTTTAAATATTTTCCCAACTAACCTAGGCTTCCACTTTTTGGTTTTTGTTTTTTCAGTACTGGGAATTGAACTCAGGACCCTGCACTTTCTAGGCAGGTGCTAGCTACTGAGCTATATCCCTGGCTAGGCTTCCACTTTTTTCTTAAAAAACAAAAACAAAAACAAAAAGTAGTTTATGGTTCTGGGGATTGAATATGTTAATTATGCACTCTTACCACTGACCTATACCTCCAGCCCCTTCCTGTGATTTTGAGTATTAAATACTACCAGAACATTTAGAATACATAAAAGCATAACAGAATATTAAGTTATACTTCCCTCCCAGAGATAACCAGTATAGCACCTTGAGACTGTATTTCCAGTATTTTAATGCATAAATATATATTTTACATGGCTCATATTGTATACTGTACTACTTTAATATATCATGAATGCCTCATTTCTTAAAACATTAATCAACACCAGTTTTTTTTTTTTGTCTTTTTGAGACTGGGTCTCTATGCAGTTCGGGCTGCTCTTGAATCCACTTTGTAGTGTAGGCTGGCCTCGAAGCTGCAATAATCCTCCTGCCTCAGCCTTACAAGTGTTAGAATTACAGGTGTGCACCACCACGCCTGGCTGAATACCAGTTTTAACAGCTTTTAAGACTGTACATTTGGGCTGGGGATTTAGCTCAGTGGCACAGTGCCTGCCTGGCAAGCTCAAGGTCGTGAGTTCGATTCCTAGTACCGAAAGAAAAACAAAAACAAAAAACTGTACATTCATGATGATTTCTGAAATATATTTCCAGGTAGAATTCCAATAATGTTCAAATCAGCTTTATTAATAAAATAGCCAAAATGTAAACAACTCAGATGTCTAGCTGGTGAATTAATAGATAAGTTGAAATATATCCAAACCCTAAAATACTGTTTAGCAAAAGAATTATAGAGAAAGCAAAAATATGGATAAATATCAAAATATTATGTTAAACTAAAGAAGGGTGACATAAAAAAGCATGGTTCCATTTTCCTGAAATTTTAGAAAAGAAATGAAATCCACAGTGACAGAAAGCTTATTAGTGGTTGCCTAGAGACAAGGATGGGGTACAAGATAAATTTTCTGAGTGGAGGCAGTGGAAATTAGTGGTTCTATGGATTGTGGCAGTATTGGATATGATGTATAAATATGTCAAAACATCTAAACACAATTAAAAAGGGTACATTGTATTTTCTGGAAACTACACCTTATTAAAGCAGATTTAATAAAAAACCGGTAAGAACACATTAAGACTGGAATGACACAAAAAATCTTGGGCTTATTCAATTCCATACTTCTGTTGCTTCATTTTTGTTTCCCTTTTTAGCAATTTTCCTTTAAAAAAATTTACACCACATTTTCCAAATGTTTAAAATTTGTACACATAGGAAAAACGTATATATATAGAGAGAGACAGAGACAGAGACAGAGACAGAGAGATTAAATATGACAAAATTGAATTTTCCTTTAGCTTAGGAAAGAAAAAATTACCAGAAAATTTCAAACACCCTGGGATTGTTCTGTGCCTGTTCCAGTCTCCCTCCAACCTCTTTTTTCCTCTTCATATAATTATTGAATTTTGTGTTGATCCTTTTCTGGCTTTTCTTCACAACTTCACTAAATGTCTGATTTTAAAGAAAATATTGCAGGGTTTTGAATGTTCTAATCAACATTAATTCTGTGTGTGTGTGTGTGTATGTGTGTGTATGGTGTGTATGTGTTGCTGGGATTGAACCCAAGACCACCTGCATGCTATTTAAGAATTCTACTATTGAGATACATTCTCAGCCCGAGTGAATTCTCTTCCTAATCCATTATAATTAGGCTGTTATTTCAATAATTCAATTGAAATTGGATTTATAAAATCACTAATTGCTGTATCTTGACAAACCCAATGGTCATCTCACAATCTTACTCCAAGTTTACTTGAATAGTTACTACTTTCCTCTTGAAATACTTGTGTTCTTCTCCGTAATTTATCTTTCTCCTATTCTTTACATTCTAGGCAGAATAATCTTACTTCTCATTCTGTATAAAGATATCTTGTATAATGGCTTCCCACTACACTGGAATGAATTTCCAAATCCTTCTGATAGCTTATAACATTCCATATGATCTGGTCCCTTTCTCTCTGCCCTCATTTCTACTACCCTTCTTTTACCTGTCTATCCTAGGCTCACTCTGCTCCTCCTACAGTGAGGGGCCCTGGAGGGTTGCAGGAAGGAATGTAATTTCATTATATGTCAACCTGCAAGAAAATGGTAGCTTAAGGAACTTCATTTTCTATGTTAGGAGCACAGTACAGAATATTGGATTGGCAAACCATTCAGGACCCCTCTGTCTCTCAGGAGGTATTCCTATTCCCCTTCATTTTCTCCAATACATTTCTGACTCAGGAAAGGCGATGGGAGGGGAGGGAAAGAGAGGGGAAGGGAGGGGACGGGGGAGGGGAAGGAGGGATGGGATAAGGGAAGAGAGGAAAGGAAAGTAAATGTTGGAGTATAGAAGAGGTAGACTGTCATGGATATCTTTTCAAATCTATTCTCCATCTGCTGTGTGCCCATGGGGTTGATGTTGGTGACTGTGGGCTTCCATGACCTCTGGCTTACAATTAGATCTGCATAATAAGGGAAGAACAATAGTGTGACCATCTGTCTTGGCTTGCCTAAAACTGAAGGGGCTATTGGGAGGTGGGACTGTCAGTGCTAAATACCAAGCAAACAGATGAGTCAGCTACTCTTCATCTTTGGTCATTCGTCAATATCTGCAGGTGATTAGTTTCAGGCCCTCTCCTAGAAACCAAAATCTGCATATGCTGAAGCCCCTTACTTATAGTGGCACAGAGTAAAACCTCAATGACTAATTTTATATGACTAGTAATAGTAAAAAAAGCTATGACTTTAATAATTCATTTTATTAATTCATAAATTAATTCATTTGTTGAATTAGTTAATGAAATGGTCTGAAGGATACATTAATATTAGCAGTAATTATTTCTAGATGGAGTTATAGGTTATTAAAATTTTGTATTTTCTATACTATACAAATGGACAACAGCATAATTGGTTTTTTGTTTGTTTGTTTGTTTGTTTTGTTTTTCTTCTGGTACCAGGAATCAAACTCACGACCTGCGCTTGCCAGGCAGGTGTGGTGCCGCTGAGCTAAATCCCCAGCCCTAACAACAGCATAATTACTTCATAATAAAAATGTTACTTCATTCTAATCATGTGAAATAAGTATATCAATTTATGTTACATTGCAAGGAGCAGCAGCAGTTTAATAATTCAGGAAGAATGACAGCTAGATGCTTTGATCTCTTTTTTTTTTGGTACCTGGAATCAAACTCAGGATTTGATTCAAGCTCAAACTTGAGCTTGTCAGGCAGGCACTTATGCCACTGAGCTATATCCCCAGCCCTGAGCTAGATGCTTTGAATAGTTTCTTTTTTCTGGTTTTTTAAGATAGAGTCTCACTATGTAGTCCAGTCTAGCCTTGAATGTACTATGTAGCCCAGGTTGGCATCAACCTCACAGTGATCCTCCTGCCTCAGCCTTGCCTGCTGGGAATACAGCTGTGCGCCACTACACCTGGCCAGAATAGATCTTTTTTTTTTTTTTTTTTTTTTTTTTTGGTTTTTCTCCGGTACCGGGAACCGAACTCACAACCTTGCGCTTGCCAGGCAGGCGCTTTGCCGCT